GCTCACATAGCCTCTCCTCATAAGAGAGATGCTCCATGCAGGTCTCCTGCCTCCTTTGCTTGATTTCTTGCTCATGGGGATATAATGGTCTTGAGCTTGGAGGAAGTGATGCTTGAATATCAACCTGCTCTCTTGGACACCCTTCTTTTCTAGAGCCCCAATCCAAAGGATTCCTCTAAGTAGGTCTTTAAATAGGTTGAAGTTAGCTCTATGGAAGTTCAGACGGATGGCCCCAGATCCTCCCCAAGTTAGAAAATTCTCAAGATTGCATACAGCTAACCTACAGTGACACCACTTTTCCTACCATGCCATGCAATATATCAAGAAAAGCTTACATAGAACAAAACTGCACTTCTATTTTATCTTATCTTCCAACTTCCAGTAACAGCTGCATCTAGCTCCAGTTTCTTTGCTCTTCTTTCTTTGTTTGTTTCTTATACAGGGTGGGTGGGTACATATTCACAGAACACTTCTGCTGACTCAGAAAGAACCACTGCCTCTAACCACCTGCTCAGTGCTGCCTGTGCAGACAGACACACCAAGCATGCAATACATACAGCTACCCCACTCCAAAACATAGAGTTCAGCCAAGCTAGTACAGGATAGCAGCTAACAAGCTAAGGTTTCATGTTGTGCTGTACCTTCCACCACTGTCATAAAGTAGGCATGCTCACATGTCATAGGGACAAGCATAGATGAGTCAATTCTGGAAGACATTCTTGTGAAGAAATCTGGTAACAGACAAGCAAAGTTAGTGGGATAAAATCCAGGCAGGAACATTAAAACTCTTCCTACACATGAGGTACTAGAAATGCTTTCAACACCTTGAAAGCCACATTCCTCATACAAAAACATTCATTTTGTAAGATTATAAAAGAACTATAAATATAGTATCATTTTCACCGTAAAATAAGAAATTTTGTTTTTCGATAATTACGTAGTCTGATATTAACTTTATACCCATCCACAGCTCAGCATTGCCAAAGCCTCTCACAATACACTCATTATAGGACTTATCTCGTACACCTGTCCTAAACCCAACAGGATAGCACCGTGGCAGTACAATCACTCAAAGCACCTTTAATGACTCTGTACTCCAAAAATCATTCCATAGAAGGCAAGTTACAAGAAGTATTGAAATACCCAAGGGAGCTGTGAAACAACACTGAATAATGCAGTGTTATCAAAATCCCTACTACTTTCAAATTGTAGAACTCTAATTAATGAGATTTAAGTTTCAGCATATGCCTAGTTGCCAATGAAACTGGAGAAAGAAAAAGGCATTGAGCCATCAAAATGCATACACAAAAACAGGTAAAGTTATTTTACCATTTCAAATTGCTTTAATTGCATCATAAAGTCTACTTTTTAAATAGGTGTTTATTTCTCTTTCCTGAAGAATCTAATATAAATTGCTGTATTATCACACACCTTCCTGGAACAAAATCCCCTTTTCATTTACCAATGAATTGGAAAAATACTATCCAGCAGAAGAGACATCCTTTTTTCTGGCCTGTGATCACTCTCTTAGCTTTAAAGGAATGCACCTCATTAACCCTGATAATTACAAGGTTATTCTCATCATATTAAAGGTTTAAGTTCCTCTATTAAGTCATTATTTGAATTTGCATTGCTATTAAGATGATGAGGCTATTCTAGATTTAATTTCACATAACAAGATGTTTCTCTTTAAAGATCCTAATTTTTTTCAAGTCAAGGCATATAATTTCATTGTCTTGTATGCTACATAGAATCATAGAATGATTTAGGTTGGAAGGGACATGGACCACCTAGTTCCAACCCCGATGCCATAGGCAGGGACACAATTAGCAAATCTACCTGATTAAGGAACGTATAATATACTTACAAAAACCCCAAAAAAAATCAAAATTGAAAACCCAGAAGGGGTAAGGCAGTAATGCAAACAGTCAGCAAAAACATTAAAGAGGCATCTGGCAGCAGCATGGCTGTGGCAGCAGAAACCAGAGAGAATTGAAAAAGGAGAAAAGGACCAAAACTACAAGGAGATGTAGTCTTGGGAAAAGACTACTAGTAGATATATCAACTCATAGCTAGACCGTTCCAATAAGACTCCACAGACTACAGAGAAATTTCCAATTCCCATGCTTCCCAAACTTCCAATTCCCATTATGTCCCTGACTACAGCAGGGGGGTTGGAACTGGATGATCTTTAAGATGCCTTCCAACCCAAACCAATCTATGATTCCATGCCCTTTCCAATGGAAATGTATAATACATATTTGGGGCATTTTCCTCTTAGATCATATGTGAGGTTTCCCAGGACTGTTTAGCTAATAAAGTCTCCTAAAGATCTAATAAATGCTTTCACTTTTGCTCATAGGTTTTCCTAGTACATGAACTTGCTTCCTCCACAAGAGAAAAGCCAGTTGTCTAAGTCAGACAGCTATTCTGAGGACATTAAAAATTGCAGCAGTCACATATAGAAATCCCACATCAAATATAAAAATACAGAAGACGGTTTATCTCATTATCCATGCTGACATCATATTAGTTGATGTGTGTGGTAGTTAACAAACATACAGGAAAATTAGTCACAATTACTTAGATTTGACTATATAGGTTTTATTGGCAGCACACCTAACACCAGAGAATTTAAGCACCTTAAACACAAATATCTAGCAACATCAAATTAACACCAAGGGGTTTGCAAACAAGTTTTTTTTGCACAGAATTCAGTCCCCATGAAATAACAATAATAATATCCTTTAAATGCCAGAAAAGCCAAGAGAACATGAGGATTATCACAGTGCTGCCTGGATCGAACATTGAAAGGAAACAAGTTCATAGAGTTAAGGTCAAAGTCAGCTGTCAGCCTATAGGAGAGTTTCAAGAACTGCTGGTTTGTCCCATCCATGCACCTTAAAAGGGTGTCATTCATTTCATGTGCATTTCCAAAAGAAAATTTTCATTTTTTTGTATTTTAAAGCACCCACTGCTAAATCTTGTCACAAGTACTTAGCAATGTGAGAAAACCATTAAACTATTCCCATAAAGAGTGTCAACAGTGCTGTGAAATATTCAGAATAAAGACACTATGCAAGTCTAATCAGCATAATAACTCCCTCGGGAATTATCAATTTGCAAACCTCTCAAACCCCTAAAAAGGGTAAAGAAGTTGTTGAAAATATAGCAGAGTACCCACAAATGAGCCATACATTGCTTCTTTTTTTTTAAAGCCTATTGCAAGTAACTGTTCTTCAGCAGAACAAAATATGCACATTGCACATGAGATTAATACAGGACATAATGGAGAGCAATATTTATACATCATTTCAACTTTATGTAAGTTTGCATGAGATATTTGGTCAGTAATATTAGACAATAGTAGAGTTTTTACCATTATTAGGAACTGCCATCACTGCCTCCAACACACCCTTGTATGTGGTTTGAATATCGGGAAATTCACTTGAGTCCTCATAGGTTCCACTGCTATCTTTGTTATTTAACACATTTCAGTTTTATTTTTTGAATTGTCTTTTTCTCATTGAAACCAATACCCAGTGAACAGCAAACTTGTGAGTTTCATTGCCATTAATTAGTTTCTTTCCTCTCTCTAACACAGTATACCCACAGCATGCATCTCCTCACACCCCACACCCAGGAGACTCAGCGACAGAACCCCAAACAGAAGGGTTTGTTTTTCAACAAGAAGTTTAAAGAGCTTAAAACTACTAATTTTTTCCTTTCCTTTTTTTTAAACAAATACTGAAAATAACCAGGGTGGCATTGGCATTGCTTTAATCAGTTTAAACTTGAAGACAGGAACTCTAATTAAAATCGGGAACTCTAGCTGTAAGAAACAGCTAATTAGTTCCCAACTTTTTAATGAAGTGCTGTGGTGGAGTACATATTAGCTGCTCAATATTAAAAAGGAAATGTTCTGCAAGATAAGCTCATTCTCTCAAGTAGTACATCAGTTTGTCTATTTATTTCAATCCATGCACTGTCACAGGGATTTAAGAAAACACACTACAATAACTATCAGATTTACAGATCTCCATCCATACACAGTAAGATAATTGAACTTAGCAGTATTTCAAACAGAGAAGGAGAAATACAAGGCAGTTCATTACCTTTCTGTTAGGCAATGAAGACAATTTAAAACACATTACAGTATAAGGTTGTGTTTCCCTCCTTTCAATTCGTTCCTGGCCACAACTTGCAAACACAAGGAAAAAGAAGACGGGGAAGAAGTGAGAGAAGGCATTTTATGCTTGTGCTCCCAAGAAGTCTGGGCAAACTATAAGCGACAGAGGAAAAGTGAGAACTGCCAGATAAAGAAAAACCTCGGCCAGTGAGTCTCCGCAAGATATGCTGACAACACTGGGAACCTGAACAACTTCGTCCACATTTCCACAGCTTTCAGCGTCCCCTTTTGTAAGGCTGGTACTTCTATCCCCCCTCCCACATACGGAGCATCAACTAAAAAAGAAATCACTTAAAAATGATTACAAACAAAGGCCAGGTTCGCCCGCGTTCCCACGCCAGGATTTTCAAACCCGCGTTCCCTCTTGTCGCGACATGCCACACTTACTCAGAAAGCCCTGATCATTAAAGCGGCATTTACGGTGGTGTCAAGCGGAGGAGGGTGTGAAATCGCCCCCGAGGGGCCGGAGTAGCCGGGGCCGCTGCTGCCCAAGCGCCGGCCAGACGGAGCGGCCAAACCAGCCCAGGATCTGCCGGGAACTCTCGCCCTGTGCCTCCCGCACCCGGCACCACCCGGGGGGACCAAGGGCAGCACCAGGAGCCCGCGCGGGTGCCCTGATGCGCTTCTCCCAAAAAAAGACCTCAAAACCACAACAAAACAAAAGAATACCAACAAACCAACCAACCAAGCCCTACCCATACTCCCTCCACCCAAAAAAAAAAAAAAAAAAAGCAGCACTCGTACCCGGGACCCAGCAGGTGCCCCGCCGCCACCGGTCCGGGCCGAGCCGCGCCGCCCCCCGCGCACTCACCAGCGGCGGGACGAGGTGCCGCGGGGAGCCCGCTGCCGGGGCGGCGGGTCGGACTCCCGCCGGGATGCACCCTGCGCCCCATCCCGTCTCCCGCCCGGCACGATACTGCCACTGCCACCACCCCCGCACCGCCGTCCGCACCGCCCCCCGCACCGCCCCATGATGTCACCCCTCCGGGCCGCCCCGCCCAGGCTCCGCCGGCAGCGGGGCCGCGGCATGCGGAGACCCCCGGGTACTGCGGGAGGAGTCACCCTGCGCCCTTCCGCTGCCCCCGGCCCTGCCGTGTCGGGAGGGGCGGCTGCGCCCGCGGCCGCTCGCATGGAAACGACTACGTGGGAAAAAGCCGTGTGGTCAGACCTTTCACGCCAGGGGATTCGCCTCCTTTCCTCCTCTCCCCGTTTCTGCTTTTCTCGTGAAATAGCCTTAAAAATCAATATGTTACAAGTATAGAAATCGCGCGTGGAATCCCTGGGCGAGGAGAGGCAAAGAGGTTGTTTGCAGATTTATTTCCCTTCGCATTAAAAACCGGAGTGGTCGCCTAGATTCTCCCCCTCCCCTCAGAGAGCTGTGCAGAAATGGCATCTCAAAGCCTTTAGTTCAGCACGGAGAAGATTGGGGCGGGGAACGGGAGGGGGCACAGGACAACATGCATCTCATGATTCTCATGTCGTGTTTGAAAATAAGTTTGAACGGCTTAGATACCTTAACAAGCTAACGTCCTGAGGCAGCATGCTCAGGTGGCGGGCCAGAGTCGGATTGTCAATATAAACCAAAATGAAACATCTAGCTTAGACCCAATTTCCTGAAGCACGATACATCTATTTACCTGTCTTGATAAGGGCTTCATCACCAGAACAAACCATTCCAGGCTGATTTAAACTATGCCTCTGTGGTCTTACGAGACAGAAAGAATAGAAAGAGGACATAGAGACTTTTTTTTTTTTACAAATTGTGCTTGATTGGCATGTCTAGAAATTAAATAAAACATTGGTCTGAGCTGCACTGTGGAAGGAGTGGTAGTACAAGCCTTGGGCTTCTCCAGAGAGGTCCATTACAAAGACTGAAGACTGTCAAATCTTGCTATAAGGGCACATGTATGCAAGCATCACCTTCATCATGATTAAAACATTAAGGAGATACCTCTGTATTATGGAGCTCACTCAAGCAGATTAAACTATTAATTCTCATGTTTTTCTGGGTCATGGTATATGACCTGAAGATCAAAATGTGAGAGATTCTCCAAAGTTCTACTGCTTGTTATGTATTTCTTCTTCTTTTCTGATAAATAATTAAAAGGAAATAAAACTGTTCAAAATTCTTCTCTCACCTTCTGTCACTAGTTTAAAAATTCTTTTAATTTTCAGCTATATGCAGTTATGTTTTCATTCATATTTGCAATTTTTATCTTACCTTATTCATATTCTTTTTCTTAGTGAGATTTCACCTATTCAGGTTTGTAATAACAATTTTTATTCCCTGAAAATAAAATAAAAAATGGAGCTACATCAGCCTCAATTATTGCTGCTTTGCTTCACCATTTTAAGACACTGGCATGGCTACTCACCATATCAAAATACATTCCTTTCTCCCTTCCAAAGGAAGTATTCGGGTGTTAAATTGTTTCCTATTATCTGCAGAACGATTTTGCATAAAACTGGATCAGTAAGACCACACATGCAGGTATGAGAACTCTCCTTCCAAAAAGTCTTCCACCCACTTGGGATCCTGAAGCCCCAGGCAGAGGCAGTAGTATCAAGCCTTTGCTCATTGTACAGCATAAGTGGACTAATCACTAGGGTCTAGTAAAGGCTACTGATCTCATGAGTCCAGTGCTGTTTCATTTCAGTAAGACACAGGCAATGATTTCGTTAGGTGGAACACAAAATTTAAATGACAAAAATACCTCAATCGCGCACGGGGATGATTGATATTAAGTGAATAATGAGGCCACTACCAACATAAAGCAAGAGGCAGGCTGACATTTGAACGGTATTATTTAACTGGAAAAAAAGATGTATACTGGAGAGGAGATGCATAGCAAGCAATTAATTCAGAGAAGTTAATATAAAAAGATGAGCTCAGTTTGCCATTGCAGAGCAATTTCTTCACAGTGAATTCTTCAGGGGAGCAGAGGATCAGTCTGTCAGTGGGAAAGGCACGTTATAATTGCTGCTACTGTATCAGTAAACACTGGTGGAGATACTGGTTTAAAGGGAGCTGCAGCTTTCTCTAGCTAGTTTTTTGGATTCCTTCATTCCTTGATCCCAGTAACCATCCTGTAACTACAGCTGCTGTGATTCCATGTGACTAAGACAACCAAGAACCACACACCAGAGCAATTAATTATGACCAAACAGGTGTCTGAGTTCTTTGCTTACCACACCTGGCATTTTTTTTCTTTGGAAATACTCAATATTCAGTATATTTGCAGCCAGTATATTTAGATTTCTAGAGAGATACTAAAGTTGAGGATGAATTGTGCTTTATGAGTTCAGAACCATAGCCTTTAAATACAAGAGTAAACTTTTCTGGGTTAATCCTTCCAAGTGTCAGAAATTAATATGATTTTTACAAACCTTTCCTAAACCTATGTGTTCTAGAGCAACAAACTTCTACTGCTACAAGTCACAAAAATCCTATGTCTAATTCTCAATTAAAAAAACCAACCAAACAAAAAAAAAACCAAAAGCACATTTAACATGGTGAACATGGCAAGCAAAAGAGAAGAAACAAAGAATCATGCTATGCACATTATTTAAGGCAAAGCATAAAATTAGGAAGGGGATTAAGGTAGGAAAAGTTACAAAAAGTACTTAATTATAATTTTTAATAAAATTCAAATTTATATAAGAATATAAATAGGTATAGTTTTCCCAAAGATATTAATAAACTTGAGTCAGGTTCTGCAGGCTTGATCCATGAAATTAAAGACTCTTCTACTAGGAAATAAGAAACTTCATTATATGAACCATTGCCACACTCACAGGATGTGGTGCACTGCCAGTTGAAACTTTGGTAAGATGTGCTGACCAAAAGTGACTCTTTCTTTCTTTCATGTATTCCCAAACCTCATAGTATTAGCATTAATGAATATATAACCGATGTGGTGAGCAAGATCAGTTTACTTATCAGGCTGCCATCAAATCTGGATATTTTAGAAAATAATGTGTACCTCCCCTTCTCCAGCTGTCACCAATCACGAGTGCCCTCACAAGAGTAGCCGAGCTCACATCAGTCTGGGGGAGGGAAAATGGAGGGAAACCCTGCAGCAGAAATGTAATAGCAATAACTCAAACCAGCTAAAAAACACATGAGAATAAAGCAGTTACTCCACAAGCAAAGATTTACAATGTTCTTGATTTCCATTTTTTCAGTAAGTTGAAAGTAGGTGCCTTAGTAACCAAACCTACTTTACAGTAGAACGTCTCAAAATGGGAAGGACTAAGCTAGTGCTTTTTCAGAGCTGACCACACCCTGGTAGTTAGGCTAAAATGAGAAACAGTTTTTAATCTCTTCAAGCAGAAAAAAGGATTGAAGTCTAACATTTAGCCTGGACAAGCATGTTAGCCACAGAGATAACAGACAAAAAGAGAAGAAAAAGTGTTCCTATCATTGAATGAATCTCCAACACTTTTGCAACAATATCATCATTTTCATTATTTTTCAATTTGTGCTTTTAGAAAAATAAAACCTCATTTCCATTGGGGATTTTCAGGATAAAATAAAAGATGCTTCATTTGTTCATATTTAAGTCCTCATTGGACTTTGAATAGAAGCTAGCCATGGTGAAACACTGCTAGAAATGCATATCCCCAAGACCAGGTAAAATGTGTTTGTTAAACCAAAAACCTCAAACCTAGAAGCCAGCTGCTTACTCCAGCTTTACTGGAGTGCTTACCTGGCCTGCTGTTTGCCGTGCTGCTATGTCTCATATGTATGCTATGCTTCATATATATTCAGAAGAAGAAGGAGATAAGAGAGAAGACAGAAAGGTAGAGCTATTTCACATAACAAAGAATGACTGTAAAGGTATAATGAAGGAAGGACAGAAGTTGCCTTCCTTGTTCCTTTTTCCTCCTCTGAGTAAAAAGCTCCAAATTGAAAGTCATTCCAAATTTATGTCACATTTCCTGCTATACACTCAGAAACAGAGAAGCATACTGCCCATTGCTTTAACTAACCATGCTGTCAGGGAATGTCCAACTACCTGGATGATAATATTAAGGCATAACTGTTGTTTCTCACTTTTACCTTGAGTATTCATCATTAATGAGCCAGTTTTACTTTGACAGATAATGCAAGTGAAGTCCCCATATATGTGACCACAGACACTATGCCTGTGAAGGATTGATGGGTTTCTTCATGGTGCTTCTTGGAATGAAGATCTCTCTACACAAAGTGTTTTTAATAAAAAGATTTAATTTATCATCTTTTTCATAAATAAACCTTCTAAATTTTATGCGCAGTTATACCTTTTTTCCGTTTCATCCTAATACTAGTTCCTTCCTTTCCCTTCTTCTTGAAACAACATAAACCAGTGCTTATGTTGACACATGGAATATACTTATACAGTGAAGTCTTAGTAGCATCTGTTTTTATTAACTTTGTATAACCCAGACATTTGTTTTCTCTCATTCTACAAATGTCTGCTGAGAGCCTAAGGGCCAAAATGCAAACACATTGGTTTGTTGTAAAATCGAGCTCTTCAAACTGAGGACTAGAGGATATCTGGCTGTAAGGATATATTTGCCATGTGCTGCAATGCAAGGTCTGTTCTGAAAAGGAGTGAGTCATCTTTGTTATGCTAATATAAAATCTGTACCATATGTAGTTCTATAGGGGAAGGTATGAAACTGCTGAAGTATTCTTATTGAAAATTTGAAAGCATTTCAACGAAAGGATATACAGATACAGTAGGGGTATTAATGTACTACTGAAACACAGTACACAGAAATCCACATATGTAAGGATTTCCTAACAGAAAAACTGCTTTGCTAATTTAGAATCATGAGTGTAAAATATTACCTCTCCTGCTAGCCTCCCTCTTTTATCCTTTTATCTTTTAAACTATGCCTACGAGC